TGGCGAAAATTGTCACGTTATTTGACATAACCAAACTTGTTCGTTTTATCGTAGAACTATAATCCTTTCAACAATATGATCCAATCAATTACGATATATGCAAGTATGTTAATCTCAGCTAATGATCATATTTTTCATTTCACTCTTAAGTTAATAATTGTCAAATACATACTTTTCTTAGCTAAGAATTTCGATATCAACTTGATCGAATGAAACGTAATCATAATCTCTTACTATTTAAGAGTAATGAATTCGCTATCGATCATTCACAACTTTCATAGAATTCTTAATATACCCAAATCATGTCGTATTAGGAACTCTTAGAAGAGAAACATCCAAAATCACCAAAAGATATATTCTCAAATAAGACACTATGATGACCTTAAGTCGAAAGATTAGTTACCAAAAGTTAGTGATTAATCACTTTCGCTCAAATAGTTATTCATATGAAACTTCTATTGCGAGTTTCCAATACTTTGTTAAGGGAACAAAACATTCACGTGACAATCTAACTGTCACTACTTTTAAATTTTTGAGATCAATTATTTATTTCGTAAGAAAAAATGTCACACGTACTTAAGTATCCATAATAATGATCTTCATATGTCATTATTACTCACTATCATTGATATAAGATCCAGTCATACACAATTTGTATTACAATCACAACTCTTTATGATTTACAAGTTATCAAGAATCGAATTTATGAACTCTATTAATTTAATTTATCAAAATAATAATTTAATTAAATAATAGATTTAACAATAATGACAAGGCATCAATCATATTAAAAGTGTTTACGTTCAAAATCAATTGGTCCTAAAGCACAACACTTACAAATACCTTGTGGAACACATTCCCAAAAGATAGCATTGCTCTCATGATGCCAATAGCCCATAATATGGGAGATGAAGCTCAAGTGGACCGTGAAATTGAAAATATCCTTTGCGGCTATACAATGCAGATAATGCTGTAACATTACTAGTTGAACTATGTTTTCTTTCATTTGAGGAATAAATTTCTTTTCAATCGCTGATGTTGCCTCATCAAGCAGACTACCATTGTCGACTCACAGGATAGACAGCAGGTAACAATGACTGCTTAGACTCCAGCAAATCAGGAATGACGACTGCAGGTACAAATGTGCATAGTTAGAAGTAGACCCCTCCGGGAAGAAAAGTGATACCGATTCTGTGATTTTTGGGGCTTGAGGCGAATTTTATAAATTAAGCTCCAAAATTGTAGTATGTATATGAAATTTATAAGTGTATTATGAAGTAAATAGCAAACTTGTTAATTTAAAACTTAACAATAAAACAAAAAATAAAATATATTATACAAAAGATTTATATTATAATCAAATAACAAAGTCAATAATGTTCCAAGCGATCAGTTAAATCGTAATCGTCTTGCAATTTTAAATGCAAAAATATTAATTAAAATTGAATAATCTACCTATTCTAATCATTTTTCTTTCCTAATTGATAACATTGTCAATCTATTCAATCTTTTTTATGATATACTTGATCGATGATGACGTATGACTAACAATATTTTGTAAGTAATATAAGCATTCAGGATATCTTTAATTATTGTAGCACTTCAACTGCTCTTGTTATTTTACTTGATATATAGCATCTCAAGATATGTAACTCAGAACATAAATAATCTCTGTTAATATTTGAATGTCCAATATATTCTAGATACTTCTCACGATTCGTATAAAGCTTCAACAAATTGAAAAAAGCTAACTTTTCCAAATTTAACAAAAATTCAAATCTCTCTCTATATTGTTTAAATCAAATCTTAGAATAGATAGAGTTTGATTAATTATAAAAAGAAAGTATTCAACAGTAAAATATTCTTCAACTAATTAATTTACCTCATCCCTACTACTTTCGTTAAATTATACGATTTATTATTATTATTATTATTATTATTTTTTTTTTTAAGGAAATACAGCTTCAATTTCAATTTTACTTGCCTTTTTGTCAGTTTATTCATGATAATAGAAAATTCAATTTTTCTATGATTTTCAAAAACTGAAATAAATCCGTGTAAAAGGTTGATAGCACTATCAATATCCATGTTTTTCGATTTGAAGAAATTTACTCATAATATTCACTATATGCAATAATATGTACCAAATTATCATGCCAATCAAGAACTCAAAATTTTGAAGTTTATATATTGATAGACTCAATTACACTTTTTGTTTTAGGATTTTCATTAATTTATGTCAAGTCAAGTAAAACGTCTCTTACTTTAAACACTACTAAAAAACAGAGTTTCAGACACGGAATTTTCGTTCCTAAAGTTTCAATATTCATTGCTAATAATTTTCACTAACGGAATATTTACAACCACAAATTCGTTGGTAATTTGAGGGTCGTTGATAATTATCAACGGATCGTGCCGTAGGTAAAGAATAAATATTTTACCAACGAATTTTTCGTTGATAAAGTGTGAATCTTTTACCAACGGAAGTAAAAGTCTTAACCAATACTAATAGACTTTCCGTTGGTAAATGTCTATTATTACAATTGGTAAAAATCAATGTTATAAATAACCGTATAGTAAAAAGATTATTTATTTATTTATTATTATTATTATTTTTTATTTATTTATTTAATAATTATAATATATATATTTTTTATTTTTAGCCAACTGAATTGAAAAGCCAAAATATTGTTTAACTCCTTATTGGACAACAAATTTATAAAGGGTAACTACAAATATATTGATGTAAACTTTCGATGTGGGATAAGTGAATTATTTTTACCAACGGATAATCCGTTTCTCATTACCAACGGAATTTCCGTTGCTGAAAGATCAAAATATTAAACGGTTATATTAGGCACAGAATATCCGTTAGTAAAGATATATCATTTTCACTAACGGATAATCCGTTTCTAATTACCAACGGAATATCCGTAGGAAAAAGATCAAAATGTTAAACGGTTATATTAGGCACGAAATATCTGTTGGTAAAGAGATATCATATTTACCAACGAAAAATCCGTTGCTGATTATTGTAACTAAAAGTGAATTACTTTTATCAACATATAATCCATTTCTAATTATCAACGGATGCAATCTGTTGGTAATATTCTGTACATCACCTACGGAATATCCGTTGGAGGAAGATTCAAATGTTAAACGATTATATTAGGCACGGAATATCTGTTCGTAAAGAGATATTATCTTTACCTACAAAAAATTCGTTGCTAATTATTGTAACTAAAAGTGAATTACTTTTATCAACGGATAATCTGTTTCTACATCTGTTGATAATTTTCCGTAGGTGAAAAACTGTTTTTTAGTAGTGAAACTACTAAATCGAATATTATCTACGTAATGAACAAGTTACATAGAATTAAGAAATTATTGCAACATGAGTTTTAGAAATAATAAGTCATTTATCCACTTCTGTTACTTTTTGAAATGGGCCTAATTTAGAAATGAAATTTTGACAATTAAAAAAATATTTTATTTATAAATGGAATGGACCTAATTATCACATTTAAAAAAATAAAATAAAATCGTAGTGTACCATAAAAGGGGGGAAGAATGAAAAAGGCCAAAATTTGATATCCCTATGATGTTGGGCCTGAGATAAGGGTCTCACTCGCCACTACGCAAAACTGACCAGAAGAGAAGGGTACCCTGTTGGGCATTGTCTATTCCGTAATATTCCTCCATTTTGACATGTTTGTGGGGCTCAAGATTACCCGTACACGTGCTTTATGGGGATTGGCTGGCGCGGGTTGAGGGTAGAGGGCGAGTAGGGTTGGTGGAGGTGGAGTAACGAGTTCGGGCTCTTGTCCATCATGAGAACTTTAGATTAATTAATTCAACTTAATTTAAATTATGGATCATTTGACATTCAATCAATATTCAACCCTACAATCTAATCTATTAGAAATTGAAGCTGAAACATAATCTATAAAGAATATATATATCAACTGTTGAAGATACAGATGATGAAATATTATATTATTCTTAGCAATTTATCAGTATCTTCGATCAAGAGAGTAAAATCAATGTTTTTAACTACTTTATTGCATCGACTATAACAATTTCAGGTTTATTTTTAATAAATATATTAATAACAGTGCTCGAAAAGAAATATGCGTGTTTTTGATTGAAATAATTTCCATGAAAAATGACATATTTCCACATAAATTCCAACTTCTAGAGTTTTCGACTGTCATTTTTTCATGGAAAATATTTTTTAACCTTAAAAAATATGCCTAATTTTCTTTATTTTTGAAGAAAACATTTTCTTCGAAGGCAGATAGGCGTCTGTTTTCCTCATAATAGGAAATTTCTTTTCTAGGTGACATTTTCCGTATCAACCAAACACTCTAAATGAAAAAGACATTAGGGATTTCATCTGTAAGATTTATGAAATGTCAAAACAGAGTACCCTATAGAATGTAAATATCGAGAAGTCTTATGCAGATAAATAAAGAGGAAAGCATAAATCATAAATATTAGTTAGCTCATAATTACAAATATGAACAGAAGGTAATATCTTTTTTTTTTTTTTTTTTGTCTCAAGTTATATCGTATTCAAAATTGAAGTTTTACTTAATTAGATTAGTTTATATATAATTGTGAGTGAGAAGAGGGGGTGTGATTTTTACATTTTCCTTTTTTTTTTTTTAACCAAAAGATGACAATAATCTCGAAAAGAAATAAAAATTAATTCATATTTTCGATAATTTACCAAATTGTAAGACATAAATTTGAAAAGAAACTTGAATGGTGAGGGAGAAAGAGTTGAGGTTTATAAATTTCAAAAGTAATAACAGAGTACTCTGTAAACACTGAAAAACAAGCTAAAATCTTGTCAATATCCTTAGAGGAGATATTCATAGTAATATGAGAAGGTGCAATCCATGTTAATAAATTGTTTCAAAATTCGATGCTTTACTTCTATTGAAGTATAATCGAATCGACAATCAAAATTGAATCATCGAAGAAAGATGATCATATAATCACAACATGAATGGCATTTATAGGTTATAGTGTTAAAACTTTCATACTCCACACATATATATAAAAGGTGCATACATTTTATGCTTTGGATTAGTTTTGATCCAGAGTAACACAATTAGAAATTACTAATGCTTTCACATTAGGATTTAGGGCTTCATAATATTCATTTTTAATACATTGATCATTACACCTTACCATTTTGATGTCAGTCTGATCAGATCAACGGCCTAAACTAAGCGCAGCATTGGCATCAAATCTCCATGCAAATCCACCGAATTCCATCTTCCACACATCACAAGGCATTGTTTGGCTGTGCCTCTCCTTCTGCCACGTGTACACCACCCTAACGGTGCATGCAAAAGCTTGCCAGGGCAGAGAAATTTCCTCCTTCACCACTAGCCACACCGTCATCTCCACCTCCTGTTCTCGTTCCGGCGGAGCCACCATCTTTCTGTAAGCCCAGTTAACCCACTGAACCCGATTTAAACCATCTGATATCAGTCCTGGACACGTGTCCATCTCCAAATTCTTAACCATCTCCATATCCGTACATCCTATCCCTCCTCCATCTACCCACGCTTTTGTTATTTGATCCACCATTATCCAGGATTCCACCACTTCCTTCAGCGGCACCGCGGCCGCCAGATCTGACCTTTCCGGTAAACGAACGGCAGATAATCTATTGTTATTGTTCTCAGAATTATCAAAGTTAATCAATATCTGTGGCTTTTCCACCAGAACATCCATGTTTTTTGAAGATCCAGTTTCCTTTGAATCCTCCACAGAAGTCGTCTTCGGCAGTAACTGTAAAGTAACATCCGGGCGATCAATATCCAAATCTTTTCTATCTTCACTTCTATTCAGTATTTTACTAGTGTTACACCTTCTCTCAGTTTTCTTAACCCTAACGTACTTCCTCTTTATTCTCTTTTTATTTCCAACACCAGCCTTGATCTCCGCCGGAGTCGATCCGGAAACTGTGCCTTCAGTTACTGGTTTCGGCGCGATCGGTCGGTACCTGAGCATAATCCTGTTAATTATCGTCCTATCATGAACAACACCGCCGGAAAATCCTACGGCGGACCAGGTTTTTGCACCGCTCATCCTAGCTAGTCGCAAGCAAATTTTCCGCAATATTTTTCGCTATCTAAGAGAGAAAACTTACCGGAAGCTGAGCCGACATAACGTCAAGGGCAAAACTCAAACAATGACGAGTTTTGATTAGTGGGGCTCTGATCTGGGTCCCGGATTAAAGCGCAGCGTATCCAAACGAAACAGAGTGTACACGTTTATGCATCGCGAAAAAGATGGGACACGTATGTACCTAAAGGAAACAAAGTGGGGGATGCTTTTGGTGGGATGTTCCAGAAAGTAGACGCGTGGCAAACATTTTATCGTTTGACGTTTCTTGCTGATTCACTCTCTACTTCAATGCGTGAACTTCTCCCCCTTTTTTTGAATTCAACTTCACAGGGCTCTGATCTGGGTCCCGGATTAAAGCGCAGCGTATCCAAACGAAACAGAGTGTACACGTTTATGCATCGCGAAAAAGATGGGACACGTATGTACCTAAAGGAAACAAAGTGGGGGATGCTTTTGGTGGGATGTTCCAGAAAGTAGACGCGTGGCAAACATTTTATCGTTTGACGTTTCTTGCTGATTCACTCTCTACTTCAATGCGTGAAATTCTCTCCATTCCTTTGAATTCAACTTCACAAAAACAAAACAAACATGCAGACGTTTGAATTCAAGTACAAGTAATTTAAGTAAATTTTATTTATCAACATAATAATAATAATAATAATAATAATAATAATAATAATAATAATAATAATAATAATATTTCCTCGTTTCTGGTAAATGATTTAAAATCATATTTCAGCACAATAATGTTATCTCGAAAAAGAATGATTCAATCGCACATTTCAATCATTAACCTTGCTTTCAACATTTGAACGAAGTAGAGTGCATTTCGTTCTTCATTTCTATTCAATAGTTTTTACATATTTTCATGATGAAAATATTTCTCTTCTTAAGAACATGAAATAATACGTCACTATACATTTCTAAACTTTATATATGTATAATAAGCTTATCGTGTTTGGCTAAGCTTAAAAGTGAAATTCTTAAGTTTCGAACATTTTTATTCATAGCATAATGCATGATGCAGCTACTTAAATAATATTAGTAAATGACATTACTATAATAAAAAAATATACATTATTTACGTGTCCATCCTAATAAATCACGTAAAGACTAAAGCATTTATCTGGGTTTCATTTTCTTTTTACTTAATATTATTTTTGAATTTTAACCATATTTTTAATAAAATTTTGCAAGTACTATCATTCATCGATCACTTATTATTATTAGTATTATTATTATTATTAGAGAGAATTTAAGAGACAAAACTGAAATCTAAACAAAGGAAGAGACAAAAATGAAATCTAAACAAAGGAAAAGATGTGAACATAAAAAAAAAAATAAAAAAAAAATAAAAATCTGCGTGTTTTTCACGTGGTAGGAGCCGTAGGCGGGTTTGAATTGCTTCAAGAATGCTGTAGCTATCTATGAGCTATGGAGGCATAAAGGATGAGAACACGTGTTTGTGCCGGATGACGTTTCAGGTATTTAAAATTTATTTTATTTATTTGTTTAAGTTGTTTGATAAAAACAAGTGTAGAAAATGATGAATATTAGTGATTAAAAAATTGATAAAATTATAAATTCAAGAATCAGTAATCGTTGATTTCAATTTTTTACTATATTCCAAGCCAGCACAAAGTGGAATAATGCTCATTGATAGAAGCATTGGAAAGAAAATAATTTTCTTGATGTTTGCTAGCATTTAAAAATCGAGGTCAAGTCCCCACCTTATTAAAAATTCGACAAATGAACTATCTTCTTTATAATTTGTAATACTCGACTATCTTGTTATCATTATATTATTTATTTTTACTTATTTATCTTCACTCCTAGAATGTTTGATTTTATTTAAGAATGAACTAAATTTATTTTTAAGTTACTTACTATACTCTTAATTAATATTTGCATTTACTTCTATTTTTCCGATTCTAAAATGTAAGTTTTATCTTTTTATTAAAACTAGACGTACTCATCTTCCCATGCATTGCATGTCTTCTTTTACAACGTAAATCTTTTAACTTTATGTTAAAAATAGACTTACTCATCTTACCATGCATTGCATGTCTTCGTTTACAACATCGTCTACATAAAACATTGTTTTATTCTAGAAACTATTACGGTTGTATGCTGATTAACTTTTCAAGAGAAAAAAGAAAAAGTTATCGACCTACTTGCTACAATGCTAAGTTAATACTTTTTTGAAAACTAATTATGGGACGTGAAAACATAATATATGCATGCATGCATGAATGTGTATAAGATATTACATATTTATTTTCTATTATTTTTGCTAGAATAAAGTAAATAAATCATCAAGACGAGGAGCGTTGTTATTTAAAAGAAACACTAATTAATAGAGAATCACAATTTCGGAGAAAGTTTTAAAATTTTAATGATAATTATTAATGTTCATCAATACATGCATGTTACTTAAATTTTTTAGCAACTTTTATAATCAATTTTTGTTGTTGTAATAATTGAAATTACATAACAAAATATGACATACCTCACATGCATCGCCACCAACTCAATTCCGAGCTTGTTGAGTTCTTTCCACATAATTCTTTTCCACGTTGTGACATACTCACCAATGATTCTTTCACGTATCATAGTATTCTCATTTGTGTTCGGTGGCTCTCCCGGGGATCCCTCATCGGAGATCCTTGGGAAGAGGATCAAATTGGCCCTTGCATTTTGGATAATGCTTGCATCCTCTGTCTTATCACAACTGTTGGCACAGAGTTAGTCGATGACAAAAATATCTCTTTTGCTTATTCCTATCCCGATAAGCCGAAACCAGAGTTCTTATTTTCTGTCGAGTAATAGTTCGAGTAAGTATTGAATGAACCCCTCGAAAACTTGATACGATCGGAGAATATTGCCACCCATTTCAGATTTTTTCCCTTGGAGAGTTTGGACACAAAAATAAAAATCACTCTCCTCTCTCTCTATCTAAATTCTCTCATTGTCTATAATGTTCCCAAGTGTTTGCTGGAGGATTTAAAGGATTTGGGCAGAGCTAAATATGAAGAACAATTCCGTAGGAGCAAACCACGTATCTCGTTGCAACAATCAGACGTGAATAAATTTGATTGGGTCATACAGGATGGTCCCACCTTTGTGTATACTGGTCGAAAGTAGGACTCACCGACTTACTGAGCTCTGTGTTGTCGGATCACAGGCACTACACGTCAGTGGATTTCGAGAATAAGTTGGTTAATATAGGCCCACATAAGTCACAAATTTATAACGTTATTTTATTAATTTATTTTTAATCATGTTTTTCATTTCCATAGGAATCCGAATACTCTAATTCCCGTTTGACCCTCATTATTTGAATTTATAATAGGAAAATAGTATTTTTTTAAAAAAATAGATGATTATAAAAGAATAAAAAAATTTAGATTTACGTTCAATATTATTTTATTAAAAATTGTGTGATTGAAAATAAGAGAGAGAAAAATTTAAATTAAATTGATGAATTTTAATGGGGCCAAACAAGGGCTAATAAGCATTGCTACTAAATATTAAGACTCATCATAAAATTATACGCTAGTGGATCAACATGTCATATCCAAAGTCGATCTTTAGAAGTTGGAGGTCCTAGACGACAAATTATTGTGAGATGCTGCAAGTGTAACAATCTCTTAGCACCAAACATTATCAATTCATATCCAAAATTAAATGAGGCTTTCAAAATAAATAACTTATTTTTAACTTTTATAAAAATTATTTTATAAATTTTAAAGATATTTTTGGGGTTTCAAATTTTTTTGGGTCCCCTTAGACCATCTCCAACTATTCACCAAAATTTACACCAAACTAGAAATCATCTCCAACTCATTATACCAAAAGTTGCACTAAATAAACAGTGTTTAATCATTTTCTTCATTTTTTTATTCTTAATATAATTTATTTATATGAAAAATTATTTATTTACTTAGTCTATTACTTCATAATTTATTAAATAGATAATTATGTTTCGTTAACTGAAATATTGAATTCATTAATAAATTTATTGAATGTAGTACAATTAATAGAAAAATCACAACTAAGAAAATATTAAATAATAATAACAACAACAACTATAATCATCATCATAATATAAAAAATAATAATTATAATTGTAATAATAATTAATTAAGAATTAAATTTGTTGTATAACAAGAAAGTGATACAAATACCCTCAACAAAAGTTGGTGCAAAATGGGAAAGAAGGGCAAAAATGACATTTCCATTTTGGTGCAAAATTTGGTATTGAGTTGGACAGGGGTCTTACCATCTGGTACAAAATGGGAGTAGTTGGTCAGTTGGGGGTTAAAAAGGGAAAAAGGAAAATAAAATAATCTCGTCATGCACCATGTTCGTGTTTCTATGTCAGAACGAAAGCTAATGGATTGTGCAACGGTTTAAAAAATTCTAAAAATAAGAAATAAATGAGCTCCAAATAGGAGCTATATATTGATTTTTAAATTACTCAATATTTTTAGTTTTGAGTTAATTATATATATAATGGTCGTTAAAATGTGCTTGAAATATCGAGTTGGTCTTTAAACTATTTTTCTTGCCCATTTACTTCCGAAAATATTTAAAATTAACATCACGGTCATTGAGTCAGTGTAGGGGTGTTAACGAGTCAAAACTCTTGGCTAGGGCTTTTTTAACCCAACCAAGAAATTGAGACTTGACCCAATCTTTTGGCTCAAGCCTTACCAAGCCGAGCCGAACTGGCTATTTTGTTTTTGTTTTGTTTTATTTTTTTGGTTTTTTTTTCTCTTCTTCACAAGCCTTTAAATTAGACAACTGTATGCTACTACTTTTTTCCTTTTTTTTTTTCAAGCCAAATTGGGCTCGGCTCGAGCATTTTTCAGGCCGAGCCATTGGCGACTCGAGTCGACGAGTCAATTTGTCATCCCTAGGTCAGTGATTGTACTGTACAACCATACGAGATACTTGAGACTCCAAGTATGAGACTCCAAGTATCTCTAAGATAGTCATTAGAACATAGTTAAGCCATTTTAATGTAAATTGTAAAATATATTACAAGAAGGGAAAAATACATAATTATAAAGGTTTTAAGATAAACTTTCAAAAATAAGAAATTAGTGAAAAAATTTTCAAAAATCAAGTAGTCACATTTGCAAAATGTGACCACCTGATATAGGTCTAGCTCACAATAGCACACAATTATGATCACACTCACAAATCACATAACATTATAGTCATAAAGA